AAAAAAAAAAAAAAAAAAAAACAAGTGTGGAAGTGTATATTTTCCATGTTCTAACGAAAGATTCATTCAATTTTGCCTTTTTTTTGTTCTCTTTTTTTCGGCGTCATTTTTTTTCTTTTTTCTTTTTACTATGCGGCGCCTCAAGACCCCCCCTACCATCCCTTGGGGTCAAAACCCCCTGTCACCCCCCCTGTCAACCCCCCACCGGGACCAGGCACGTTCGGATGGGATCCATCCGTACGACCGTACGGCCGTTCGTACGTCCGTACGCATGAGCCGTACGGAGATTCCCTGTACGATGCACGGGGGACTACACTGGATATATGGCATGGCAGTTGGGGCTCTTTGTTTTTCTTTCCGCCCCTGCCACTGTTTGATGGCTTCCAGATATGTGCCAGGGCAGTTCGGTCTCTGGGCCCAGTGGACCCGCAGTGGCAGATGTGTTGTATTCAAGGGATGCCGGAACTAGTGCCTGCGCCCTACTTACCCCTCTTTTCTTTTTTTTTCACCACTGTTTGATGGCTTCCACTCTATTAGTGGGGAGTGCCTGGACCCCACGGCCAATCTGCCCCCATGGCTTCACTCTGAGCTCCGTGAACTGTTACGGGGTGCGTTGTATTCGAATACAACATACATCCATTATACAATGACTTCTAGGGTATGAACTTGGGGAGGGGAAAAGTCGTAACACCTCCCCGTGGTGAAACTTCTGTCCTATTCAATTCCCCCCAAACGGGGCAAAAGGCGTCGCAGGCCCCAAAATGACTTTTCGTGTCATTTTTGCACCCTGGCTAGGGCGTTTAACGCCCGTTGTGCAAAAATGGAAGGAAGTGTTTTACAGAGTGCAAAAATGATGCCGAAGGTCATTTTGGTTTCGGGGCCTGAAGCACCTTTTGCCCGGTTTGGGTGGAAATGTTGGGGCCTGCGGCACCTTTTGCTTAGTTTGGGGGGAAAGGAATACAATGGTTTTGTCGGGGGAACGTTTAATGACTTTTCCCATAAACTTTTCGGAAGAAGAGTGTTGTACCGCTGTTGTTTTCTTCATGTTTTTCTCAATTTTCATTGGGAATTTCACAAAGGCCCTCACCAAGACCCCGGAAGAAGCCGGTGTGGGGAAAACCCGGGGAGGGGCGCCTGCTGCTCGCTGAAGCCAAGGGCTACGGCGCCCGTCACTCGCCGCGCCCGCTTCCGAGGTCCTCAACGATCAGCAGGGTACTTTGGTTGGACCCTGCCTATTACACCTCCTACTTAAGGGAGATCTTTACGGTGCTATCAGCCCGTGCAACCTCGACGAATCACCCAGCTCTGTTGACTTCCAGTTTTCTTTTGTAAGCTCAAAATACGGTTCCAACTGTTGAATTCCCTGGTTTTTTTTTTTGCAAGCTCAAAATACAATACCAACTGTTCAAGTCCAATTCGTCTTTCGCGCGCCTGTTTAACAGTCAGCAACGAGATAAACCCAATCAATCAAAGAGCAAATCACGGGGTTAATCCGACAGCCGTCCCGCTAGGCAAACAAGACCGTCCTTCTTCGCCGTCTCAGAGAGCCAGTCACCTGACTTGAAAAGAAAATGAACCCTTTCACAATTGTTAAGTCAGGTCTGCGGTGCCCTTTAATTGACTGCCTCGACCACCTGCAGTTTACTGTCGCAGCCACGTAATTAACAAGATAAATAAAGAGGTCGAGAAATAAATAAACGAATAACAAGAGATGTATCACTCCCTTTATACTAAAGTGAAACTTCTAATCGTATTCGCTCAAGGCCACCCGAAGCTGCATTGCCACTCTGTCAACACCCCCCCTTTCTCTTTCACTTCCCCTCGTCCCTGCTCTCTCGCTCACTCTCTCTCTGCACCCCCCCCTTTCTCTTGCTGTTTTCCTCCTCTCTCTCTCGCAGTATTCCGTTGCTCTCATTCTCTCCCCTTTGCCGTTCTACCCTCTCCTCTTGCTCTCTCTATATCCCAGCGCTTCTCTTTCCGCCCTCCGCTTCTCTCACCCTCAGGGGTGATATATGCTCTCTCATTTCAATAGTGTCTGTTCGCATGGTCTTGCTGGACATTCAGGAGGTTCTAAGGCGAGCTGTTTACCGGATGAGCCTTGGAGAGTCATTCATCAGGAAAAAAAATAATAATAATAATATTAATACCAACGACAATAGTAATAGTATCAGGGGGGAGGAAAAAGAAAACGGGGGGAAAGTTTTTTTTGTCAAGCATGATCCACTCGTTACCAGTTCCAGTCATCCGTACGATCCAGAAGCCTTTCACAAGCGGACTCATTTGACGCAAACATCTCTTGCCAACGGGGAGTCTGCTTCGCTGACGGACCAGATTGTGTAACAGTTCGTTCGTCTTGCTTGCTTTAATACTCTCGCATGTGCTTCATTGCAGACAACCCCGATAGATACTGGCTGTTAACTGTTCACTGAGAGCGGGAGTGTTATCACTTGGCAAACAGATCTTCTTTCATATCAAAAGGGAAGTTCGCCATCATGCACCCGTCGTCCCGTGCGCTCAAATGCAATGATTCTCTCCCTTCTCGAAATTTCTTTACCCACACTGTCCTCTGTTGAGCGACGACCTTCCCGTCGTTCCCAACACACCGTCACCACCTCCCACGCTCTCTCCTCCCTGCGTTAACAGACACACCTGACCAATCTCMAGTGGTTSAACTCGACTCCACTTTTCCTACTCAGTCCYAGCTGTAGTGCGCTGATCCTGGCGGCGCTGAGTCACGATCCGGGTGAAGTACATCTTGCCTTCCGTCCTCCTCTTACTGAWCTGAGCCTTTCTTCTCCYTTTCTCTCCAACTCCCCCGCCTGTTATCCCSACTGTGTCCCTCGSGGGAGACGTATCCCGAGTAGGCWGGGTACTCGTTGCACACGTCCTCCTTCCCCTTTTCTCGCCCGTCCCCGATCTGGCTGCG